TTTATAGTTTGAGCAATACACAGGCGCATAATATAATATGTTGAGAAAAATAATACTAAATATGCGTAATACCTTTTAGAAGATATAACTGTTTATATTCTCATGAGGAAATACATTGTTGATCAATAAAAAATAACAATAACAATACTAAACAGGGACAAAAATAGATATTTTTACCTTCTTTACATAATCAAACTTCACAAAGAAATTAGAACTTATGAAATAAAAAAGGGGTATAAACACTTGTGTTTGAATCTCTCTGTACATATTTGAAATTTATGCAATACAGTGTTCTGACTCTTGAAAGGAATTATCATAAACGTATGTTGTTATATTTATCTGAAAATAAGTTAACGATTAGTTTCTTCTCAATTTTTTACTGTTTACGTTTCAGTGACACATGAGTAAATAGGTAAATAACATATCATATATCCCGACTATTATTGTCATCATAGATATAGAAATCGAACCCAGAACCTTCAAGACTCCGTGGAAAGACTAATAAATTGGATTTTAATGACCCATATTCTCAGTGTCGGCCATTTCACATGATTTGTAGCATAATAATTATTGGGTATGCTTTCGAATCTGTAGTTCATCTCCGAACTTTTCGGATCTCGACTGATTTAGTGTACGACTTGCTTGATAAAACTGACTAATAGCTGATTAATTGTCAATATCATGTTTATCTAGTCCTGTCTAAGTAGTTCTACTACATGTCAGTTGGAGGCCGAATAACTTTACAGGAACGTTTCAGACAGTGAAACTAGGTAATTCAAGCACGAATTTCATAGAAAGCATTTGTTGCCCCAAGATTCCAGATACATATTACTGATGAGTGTCATCTAGCACTAGACCTACCAAATATATCCAACCACCTAACAGCTCAACATAGTACCTACTATGTTGAACCCCTTAGATTACTGGACATATTGTAACTTTATTGACATAATTCAATTAACACTATGGATTAGATAATCATGTTACTATTAAATGACTAATTAGTGTACATAAGTCGATGTTAATCAATCAGTCACTATGTATTAGGTCATTGCATACTCTTTGAATCGTAATCTGAAATTCTTAGTTATCCTAACATATACATGCGACTGTTGTTGATTATTGTACTTCAAACCATTTAATGAATTCAGCATGATATTAATTCCTTAATGTTAAACCCTTTATTTATGCATCAACAATTTCTCTTTATCTATCCAACTTTGAAATTCAAATATTCTTACTATCATTATCTAAGACGGTCAGTTTCTTTTGGGATCAATTGTTAAGATGATGACTTAATGGTGTCATACTATTCAAAAAATTTAGACATATAACATGAAACTTGTGTTTTTGTACTTTCTACATTTCACTTGTCTAAATAATAATATTCACTTACAATAACAACTGTATGTTGATATTGTATGTAAGTGTTCTTTTTGTCAAGTTATGCACAGAGAAAGAGAGAGAGCAACAAGTAATTGAATGTGTAAAAATTACCAAAATTTATTAGGTAGAAATGAAATACTCATCTACCCAATCATTCATTTCTACATCTATATATGCGTAGTTCATTATTTATTGACTTATTTTCCTACTTCTTATGCGCTTATTCAAGCATGTTGTGTAAGGTAAATAGTAATGGTGACAAAAGCAAATAACCAAGAGAAATAAAATAAAGTTGGGTTTTTATAAAAATACATATTTATATTTTGCTTACATTTCATTTTGTGCGTGTGTAATTCTGGATTAGAATGGCAGGGTGATTACTCCATGTAGTGATGATGATTCAATTTTTTGTCGGTCAGCGATTGTTGTTATTGTGTTCTTACATCATTGAAACGCTTTTTCATTTCATCATGAAATCTAAATGATGATTAGTGTTTCTTTTTCAGTTTTAATTATCATTCTAATTGAGGTTGTCACACGTTTTTTTTCCATGCACACGCGAACACACACACACACGTCATTTTAGAAAACTCGAGGAGAGATATACGTGTACAATATTTTGTAGGTTAATTGAGGTCATATATACGTACAAATATATCTGAACGTTGATCATTATTTATTCTTTTATCGTGTCAGTGCTTTACTTCTTTTTTTTCTTATCGATGCGTGATTATGAATAGATGATAATTTTTATTTCTTGGCGAGAATTAGTTGTGCACAGAAAATAACGTGTGTGTGTTTAATCTAACAATTTTATTATTATTATTGTTATTATTATTAATTGTTACTATGACACTTCATTATTGGAAAAACTTTTTGCCTTTTATATAATCTTTCATTAGTATTAATAATTTAGAATCTCTGGAATCCGATGATAATCACTGAAAGTTTGATATAGATTCATATATAACCGTTGTTCTAACCCATACAATTATGTATACTGTAGTTAACATGTTTATGCATAGATCAAGCGAATAATTTTATTTTTATGGTTCAAATCACGAAATAATCTTAACTAAATCCCCATTAAGACATGGTTGAACTCCACTGGTCACGGATTCTCACTAGGAAAATAGGAATTGCATCCTGAAGCTGGTCACTAGTGAGGATATGATTATCATTAGCATAGGAGGGATTTGTAGAGATTGTAGTTTAAATCACGAATTAATCTTGACATAGGAGTTTCATACGAAGACAAAACAACCATTTAGTGCTTCTAAGTTTTTAATGGCGGTCTACCTACCATCAGTCCATGATCTAAACTATGAAAATTCTACAATCCTCAGAAAATCCCCCTGTAATATAATTTTTGTTACTGTCTGGACTCTCCTGACTATCAATAATGATCGGAAATCAGTATATAGTTACTCAGATTGACTAATTGATTAACGGCTATAAATATCTAAAATGTAGCTTGACGACTAAACGTGAGAGACAATTCTTGGAATTCTAAAGAGAAGCCGTCACTAATCAATGGAGTTCAGCTATGTCGAATATGAGCGAGTTACTATTGATGAAATAGTTATCCACTTCCAAATTTTTACCAGTGTTTTAACTTTGATAAATTTTTCATGTAAAGTAAGTTACTAGATTAGTTATATTCGGTATGATCTATTTCATCTGAAATTTTGACGCACCTTTATACATTTGAATATCTCTGTAACATGATTGTTTAAACAGACTTATCATTGAACGTCTTGTATATCACTTACCTGAACTTGAGTTGTTTTTTCTCCGACCCTCTTCTCCTTTCTTTGTGTTGATAATTCTTTTCTTTATTATTTTTTATAATAAAAAAGAAACAAGCCGAAGTGATGTTTTTCAATGATTCCAGTTACTAAATTATTACAATAAATCATAAGAATATTGATTAAATTCACTTTACCCTTTTCATTATTCTAGTTCTCATCTATTCAGATGAAATCATGTTCAACATTTGATAACTGATTGCTAAGTTTACTTAAATAATTTAGAAAGGTTTTTCTTAATCATAAAGAAAGGTGAATAACTGGAGCATTTTAAATCCATCTACTCTCAATAAAACTTATCTGTATTAATATTGTATGGAATTTTTAGAATAATAATAATCCGCATTATACTCGAAAACATTAATCTCATCAATAGAGCTCAATGAGCGAATTGAGTGAAATATAGAACTAATCTACTTATTGTGTATTGTACTTTTTAGTATATTGACAGTTACTAGTTTCTGATTGATTTTTCAACTGATATTATAAGTTACTATTCAATAACTAACTGATATGTAATGTGAAATTTACTCATAGCTATTTGATTATTATGTCATCGTACTCTTTTAAATATATATGATACAAGAGTACTCTGCTAATGTAATTAAAGTTTTGAATGATTTCTGTTAAATTAGCGGTTAATTTAAAAAAAACTTTTCAAGAATGAAAATCGATCAGTTGGAATTTTTATCAATTAACCCTTTTTGAGATGATAACATAAGATTTAAATATGTATGGTTCTTTGTTTTCTACTCTGTAACTTTGAGTTATTAATATTCGAAACATTGCACATAATTGGTAGGTAATATGGTTTTGTACCTTTATTTCTGAGTGATAATAATAATAATTCATCTATGTGCCTTAATGTATAATAGGACTAAAATAGTGTCAAAAAGAGCAACGGTGTTTGTCTGATTAATGAGCCTATTCCGTTGTCAACTAAATCTGTTTATGCTTATAGGCGTTTATATTGTCTCACCATTGGACCTAATGCGTCATATGATACCGGGGAGCTCTGTTCAACGGACTACTGATTTGTGGGATTATCAAGTGAATAGTATTCAAAATAAACATGAAGTTCTATACAATTGAAATCCTCTTCTGTGATGATAGCCTGTATAGGCTTTGATATACCGTAGGCTTAAGGTGAAGTGAATGAAATGTAATATTCGCTTGATCTAGAATTCAGACATTCTAAATCTTCATAATTTCTGATATCTTAGTTGGGTATAATTTTAGCAAATACATTTTAACTTTATCTATTTGCTGCTCATTTGTTTTTTAATGGATAAATTCCCAGCGTTTACACCAATTTGTTCATTATTGATCTTTTCAAAATAACACTATACCGCCGGAATTTGTCAACACTGTGGTTGTGAACAAGTAAAAAGGCGTATTAAAATGGGGGGAACCAATAATTCTCCGTTTCTGTATTTGTATTGAATTTACAGTTGTAGTTGACATAATAGTCGTATCATGATAGAATGTCAAAAATTAAAAAGATATTCAAATGATACTGACTGAGTATATAGACGCTGGTATAGGTAAGATTTTCTTTCCTAAAATTGCTATAAACCAGAAGTATACTAATGAATTAACATTAATGAGAAAAATGCATCATTTAGAGTTTCCAAAAACGTAACTTCACAATTCACCAAATGTATTACACAATATGGCATGTTTTTTCGTTTTCAAATTTAAAAGTCAAATGCTTCTTCAATGAAATTTTAATGAATATAATTTAGTAGTGTATTTAATTGAATTGATGTTCAGTTTTTTTCCTGGTCAAATTATATTCTTTTTCAGTGTTCTATTCACTAGTCAGTTTGGTAGTGATCAGCGATCTTATTGCCAGTTACCTGTGTTCATCTGTTTTGGCGTCGTCTAATTCAGGTGTCAGCTTCATTCAAAATGATTATGATCTAGATAAAACAAAATGTATACAATCACTTTTAGTCAATCGACATCAAATTCCGGACTCAGCGTTTAATGCTACCAGTGAAGTAGTAGATCCGTCAGGAGCTAAACGTTATAATGCGCATTCTATTCGGTAAGAATTCACACCTTATTTGTACATACAGTTCAGTATTAAATAATTTAAATTATGGTACCCACTGATCAAATGGAATACTCATTAGTCATTGCAATGATTAATTTATTTTCGTCTGTGACAAACGTTTTTAAGCTTACCATACAATCTCCTCTGTCCTCCATTTCTCGTGTGTGACAGTACAGGCACCAACTCCAAAACCTTTTAGTGTCATACCTTATTTAATCAGTATATTCAATCTGTTTTAATCGATAAATTCTATTGTAAGAATGAAGTTTTTATAGAAATTTTGATTGACGAATACTTTCACCATATGTACACTGATAGGGATAGTATTTCGTCGTTTTTGATTTAAATATAGTACACACATGACTATTGTGCTACACAGAGAAATCACTTACATTAAAAGAGTTTATTATACGAAGATTAACGATTTAAGACTTTGTATTTATGATAGAGTCACGTTAAACGTTTAAAAGTTCAAATGAAATCTGGTGTACATAATATCCACTTTTCGATCTTCATTTGACTCAATAGTATTAGTAAATCAAAATAGTGTTCCTTTATAGTTTATTTAAGAAATTGAGGTTGGTTAAATAATCACTGGAAGTCGAGAATTATTGGACAGCTGTTTTACCTCAGTACAAGACTTCTCAACACTCTACATTCACTAACCCACCAGAGATAGAACATATCTTCAGGTCTCGTAGTTAGTACTCAAGTTTGCAATGACAAACCATTTAATACCGTCTCACCAGTCTAAAGTTCAAGTGCTTAGCATGAGATTTGAAGGTTCTAAGTTTGATTCTACTGCTAGCTTAAACCCATTTATCCAACAAAATTTGCGACAAAATGGCTATATTGAAACAATTGACACAGGATGTACATATGCCAATAAAGACTAATCAAAATTCAGTCGTAAATATCAACAGCTGAATAATTCAAACCCTTATAATGACTTATTTATTGTCTAATGAATAAATTTATAGAACAATCAGTAATGTTTAATTAAGAATATACAGTTGTCTGATAAGTAAGTCGATAAATCAATTTTCTTGATCTCATTTAATGTACCCTTCTCTTCATCATTATTAATTGTTACTTTTATTTTCGTTCAATTATTTCTTTTTAGAAATGAAAACACAGATTTTGCATGGTGTCCAGGTAAACGTATCAGCACAGATTGTGATGAATATGTTGAAATTGATATGGGTGAATTAAATATCATAACAAAAGTTGTTATAAGTGGATTACTCGCTGAAGGTGGAGTAAGTATTTGTTTTTCAATAAATAACAAAAACAAAACAAAACATTTTTTCCTCTCCAGTAATTATACAAATTAATAATGATAACAATAATATTTTCTAGATAGATTATTTTCATTCTAAATTATAGAATCCAATTCACCAACTGATGAATATTTTTTATCCCAGTCGTAGTTTATGATACTCTTCAGAAATATATATGATAGATAAACTATCGTGAGTTGTTCTTTAAGAAAATGTGATTTGATGATGCTGAATGTTAGCGGTGTAAAAGTTGTTTACTTTCTAGATCTGTTAGAGTAGTTGTAAACTATTTAGAAGATATATTTAACACACTACAATCGACATTATATTTAATAGATATCAGTTCATTTACTATTTCAATGATTACACAATTCACCAAATACAGATTTGTGTACTCAGTTTTTAGTCACACACTAATTGTGAGGGTTAATAATACTATTCGACTGCGAAGACCTAAGTAAATTGAACTGGATTTGAACTTACGACCTAATGGTTGAAAGTTGAATACCTTAATTTCTAGGCAGCCGCTCGAGGGATTAAAACTGGTATTTACTCATCTAATAGTATTATATCTAAAATAAGAAATCACTAAATTCCAACAACTCGAAATAAAGACACGGAGGACTTGTGGGATGAAAATTTGTTTATTCCATAAACGCAACGACGAAGTTAAAGCAAATACATTTATTTATTGATTTTACATAAACTTGACGGTTAGTTAGTAATCAATAAACAAATGTAATGACACACAGGTCCACTGTAAACACAATTAAGATTATCAGGATAGGGATTTGTGGAGATTGTAGTAATTTAATAGTTGAATTCGTGAATCGATTAAAGTTAAACTAACATTGAAAACCTGGAAGCACTGAACGACCGACTCGTCCTAGTATGGGACTCTTTAATAGTGCGCATCCACGATTCCGCACGTGGGACTCGAACACAGGACCTTTGTTCTCGTGCGCGAACGCTTAACATGTAGACCACTGAACCGACATCCAACGGCGTTAACGTTTAACTACTAGCGACTAGCTTCAAGACGGATTTCCTGGAGTTCTAGCGAGAAGCTGTGACCAGTGGAGTTCAATCCGTGTCGGTTGTAGACAGTTATCCACTTCAGATAATGGATAAAGAGTTGTGCGTGGTCTACAGGTTAAGTGTTTGCGCATGAGACCAAAGGTCCTGGGTTTGAGTCCCACTTGTGGGATCGTGGATGCGCACTACTGAGGAGCCCCACACCAGGACGAAACGACCGTCCAGTACTTTTAATTTTTCAATGGTGGTTTAGCTTTAATTGGCTCATGAATTCAACTGTTGAAACAAATAAAGTTTGCAGAGAGTAATATTAAGAATATAGTCATAACATTAATCAAAGTTCATGCTTGTCATATCGAACAAAAATGTACACTTAATCCGAAACATATTGACCTGAAATAAAACTATACGGAAAATATAAATTCAATATCGTATTGAATAAGATATTACTCTGAGGATCAGATTAATGTAAAATCTCACACTGAATATTAACTAATGTTATACACTGAACAAAATGTCACGTTGAAAAGAAATGATGTCCAAATGTCAAATTAGAAATAAAAACTAATATCATGAATGGTTACACTGAGTTAAAAAAAGGTGTGAACTTGTCTATTTATGCTGACTTATCAATAGACAATGGTGAATTATGTGTTATGAAATACAACACGGAAAACATCAACCCAATCACACTTGATGGAGAAGCTCTGGAACAGGTGGAAACTTTCACGTACCTGGGAAGCATAATTGATGAATAAAGAGGATCCAATCCAAACTTAAAGTCAAGGAATGGCAAAGCAAGGATATCATTCCTACAGTTGAAGAAAATATGGAACTCAGAACAGCTGTCAGCCAACATTAAATTGAGAATCTTCAATACGAACGTCAAGACAGTTCTGTCGTACGGAGCTGAAACATCGAGAACTACCACAACCATTATCAAAAAGTACAAATATTTATAAACAATTGTCTACATAAGATACTCAATATCTGTTGATCGGATAGCATTAGCAACAGCCTACTACGGGAGAGAACAAACTAGCTTTCGGCTGAGGAAGAAATTAAGAAAAGACATTGGAAGTGGATAGAACATATATTGAGGAAATCGCCAAACTACATCACGAGGCAATCCCTAACCTGGAATCTTGTCGGGAAACAGAAAAGAGGAAGGCCTAAGAACACACTGCGCCAAGATTTGGAAGTAGATATGAAAAGGATTGCCCCGGACAAGGGTAACAGGCGTAAGTAAGTAAGTAAGAGCTGTGCGCTAAACTTTCCTTTCTTATGTAATTAAAGCAAATATAATTGATAGAATGCTAGTTTTATAAAGTTTGTTTTCTAATAGATAAAACTAAAAGTACACTTATTTTGTAAAATATTTTTTTAGGGCAGTCGTTATACACCATACTTCTATATTCGATATAAACGAGAAATTAATGAAGAGAATTGGAGAACCTATCGACAACTTCGTCCAACTATTGTGAGTGATAAATATAATTCAAAGTACATTTTTGATAGATTGATTATGTGACCTAATTTTTTAAAAAATGGTTCTCATTTCTTTTTACTTTAAATAATAATGATCAGATAGATGAAAAACAAACAAACACACAAACAGTTTCAGAGGTTTTCAATCACTGAACATTATGTGGCCGATTTAGATTTGAATGAAATCAGTAAATTTAATATTTCAATGATAGGTTTAGATAAAATGTTGTTACTTGGAGTTATTTCCCTTGCTTGTTCAAATATTTTCTCTCATCATATTCTTTACATTATAGTACTATCTACTTTAGTAAGTGTATAGGAATTTGCCTACAATAAGTCTCATTATCCACATTTGGTTAGACCAGTGTTAAATTTAAATAGCTGAACTCATAAATAAATTCAATCCTGCCTATAAGTTATTTGAAGATATAATTTAATTAATTATCAATCATAAATAACGTACGATATAGGCTAGATGTGAATCAATCCATGATTTTACATTATACATCAACACTTCAAGATGGAATCGACATAATCTGTAGTCATAGGATAACAGAGTTCAGCTTCTGTCTATTTGTATATCTTGGTTTAGGTAGATTATATATATTAGCCACTCTTTTTTACGGCTTGTAATCCTTCGTAGAATCAATATCTTGAGATTCTTAAAAAAAATCTGTTTACTAACACTTGATGCAAAGACCACACATAAGTTGAGACTTTCTGTTTCACTTTTAAATTCCATGGTAAGTCAAGTTATATTTGATATAATATAATAACTTATCTATTTAATTAATGTCTATTTTACGTCAACATTTGTTATAATGACCATATCAAAACGATCCGTATAGGATGACCATATACCAACTAAGACTAATGAAATTTCATCCAAAAATTTCAACATTGAAATAATCTAAACCATTTCACACCGAATTAAATCTCATACCTGTTGTACTAAGGAGTGACTAATTGGGTTCAGTAGTTAAGTGGATGACGCGATGGAGTTAAAAATGAACTGTACTGGGTCCGAGTACCGAAGTGAACCTCAACTCTGGGATGCAGGTACATCCAGCTGACAAGTTTCAAATAGGACGAACAGTACGTCCTGGATTCCACTGTTAGTCGCATTCCATCCATTCTATATCATTTAATGTCTGAGTATGTTTTCTTACACAACGAATACTGAATTTATCTGTAAATTTGCCAAGAAGAAATGAACAGTATTTTTCCTTCTATAATTTAGCAACAACAACATGTAACCTATGGTTAATTGGGTTGATTAAGAAGTTTAACATAAAAAAAAACGATGAATTAGCTTTTCCATTTCTGTCCCTCCATTTATAGTGTCACATGTTTTATTAGGTTTGAGTTGTTACTTGGCTTGATATAATTTTATATGAACTTGTTATTGATTACGTAATTGTCTAAGCTGCTTGGTGTTTTCTTCAACATATTATATAGATAAGGACGATTATGTTATCTTTATTCAATTAACTTCAATCATGTTAATCGTTTTCAGTTTGAATTGTTGATTTTTGCTAAGTAAGTAGGATATATTACATTATTTGTTGATAAAAATGTTGACCATTATCGTACTGGTTGGACAGAAGGCCTGAATGACAACTAGAGCCTAGTTTAAACACACTTTCTGAAACTTTACTCAATTTCATTGGAATTTTGTGTTGTAATCCTGATGAGGTTGAAGCAGATTTTGTAGTCGTTATTGCAACAGATGTAGGTGGAGAATTTTCTTGTTAGATCATATTTAAAACATAAAATGGAGTACCAGGAATACGACCCCATAAATTGTTAGAAGAAATACCACCTAATCCTGCCTCTTCACAATCAACGTGTTGTGCCCAAGCAATTAAACATGAACCTTCAAGGATTGTAGTCCAATCATTAGGTGAAGGTAAAGATAAACCACTAACTAGTGGAGCTTCTGGGACAAGTTGTGCAAGTACTGAGTTATCATACTGTCTCAAATTCTAAATGGTTGCTAGGTTTTATTGATTAAGTTCTTAATGCAATCATTGTATCAAGTGATTTGAAGTTGGACAAATGTTCATTCAAGATTCTTTGTTTTCCATCCTGTCTTTTCAGAGACTCATATAACTAGAATATAGATGAGTAGTGGGAACATTGTTTGTGTTTCTGAGTAGTATTGTGAGAGTCTAAGTTATTAGAAGCTTTAAATACACCTTATACTTACTTACTTACACCTGTTACTCCCAATGGAGCATAGGCCGCCGACCAGCATTCTCCAACCCCACTCTGTCCTGGGCCTTCTTTTCTAGTTCCATCCAATTCTTGTTCATTTTTCTCATATCTATCTCCATTTCTCGACGTAATATGTGCTTTGGTCTTCCTCTCCTCCTTCGACCTTGAGAATTCCATGTGAGGTCTTGTCTTGTGACGCAGTTCGATGCTTTCCTCAATGTGTGTCCTATCCACTTCCAGCGCTTCTTCCTGATTTCTTCCTCCACTGTGATCTGATTTGTTCTCTCCCACAGTAGGTTGTTGCTTATAGTGTCCGGCCAGCGGATCTGAAGTATTTTGCGTAGACAACTGTTAATAAACACCTGTATCTTTTGGATGATGGATTTCGTAGTTTTCCAGGTTTACGCCCCATACAGTAGAACTGTCTTCACATTTGTATTGAAAATTCTGACTTTGGTGTTGGTTGCCAATTGTTTTGAGTTCCAGATATTCTTCAGTTGTAAATATGCTGCTCTCGCTTTGCCGATCCGTGCCTTCACATTTGCATCGGATCCACCGTGTTCATCGATGATACTGCCCAAATATGTAAAGGTTTTTACATCTTCCAAAGCTTCTCCGTCAATTGTGATTGGATTGTTGCATGCTGTGTTGTATCGGAGAATCTTGCTTTTCCCCTTGTGTATATTGAGACCTACTGCTGCTGAGGCTGCTGCTACACTGGTTGTCTTCTCTTGCATTTGTTGTTGCGTATGCGATAGAAGAGCCAGATCATCTGCAAAGTCTAGATCATCCAGTTGCATCCTAGCTGTCCACTGTATCCCGTGCTTCCCTTCAGATGTTGATGTCTTCATGACCCAGTCGATCACCAGGAGAAAGAGAAAGGGTGAGAGTAAGCAACCTTGCCTGACACCGGTCTTTACTTCGAACGACTTTGTCAACTGTCCTCCATGAACGATTTTGCAGTTTAATCCATCGTAGGAATTCCGTGTGATATTGACTATCTTCTGAGGCACGCCGTAGTGTCGAAGAAGCTTCCATAGGGTTGTTCTGTCCACGCTATCAAATGCTTTTTCGTAGTCAATGAGGTTGATATAGAGTGGTGAATTCCATTCAATTGATTGTTCCACAATGATCCGTAGAGTTGCGATTTGGTCTGTGCACGATCTATCCTTACGGAATCCTGCCTGTTGGTCTCGAAGTTGGGCGTCTACGGAGTCCTTCATCCTGTTTAACAATACCCTGTTGAAGACTTTTCCTGGTATTGAGAGAAGAGTGACTCCGCCTGGAGTCCCTTTCGGGGGGCTACTGCCGGTCCCAAGCACGGATAAAGGAGGAGGGTTGGGCATGGGGTTAGCGACTCCATCCCTTAGAAAACTAACTCGCTAAAAAAACGCTAACCAGAAAAAAATTATTCAAATACGCCTTATAGTGACAAAAATAGTCAATAAATTTAACATTCTAGTCAGTACCCAACAAGCTATATTGTGAACTACATAAGAGCTGTGTGACTTTGTAGAGATCCGTTGATTCATTTAACACATCATATTTATGTATTCTATTTTAATTTGTTATCTATTTATAGATTTCTCGACTTTCGGGTGGTTTAGACGCCTTAGTGCCAAAATTTGTTGTGCTTGACCCACCGTTGATAGCTCGATGGATTCGTATCTATCCATATCGTGATACACCAGGCTTTGTATGCATTAGACTTGAAGCATACGGTTGTCGTTTCTCAGGTAATCAAAAATTTTCACTAAATAATAATATGTACTGGGTTGTGGTGATTGTCGAGTTTTTATTGAGATCATGAGTCGATCGGTGTTGGAGCACCATTGAAAACCTGGAAGCATTTGGCTGCCGTTTCGTCCTTGTATGGAACACTTCGGCAGTGCTCATCCACGATCCGGCACGTGGGATTCAAATCCATGACATTCGGTCTCGCGTACGAACACTTAACATCTAGTCGGTTAAGTCATAAGGCGAGACTATAAATTATGGACAGCCTTTGAGCAACACTAAAATGACCTTGAAAATATCCATTTACTTACTGTGTTTAATTGAGATTTATAAATTAGTGCGAGGGACTAGGATTAGGATACACAGTTGAACTTTGAGGTTAGGTATTATATTTAATGTTTCCATCACGAACTGATATCAGCCGTAATGCCGAAATGGTATTTAGCTATATGAATGGATAAATCTCGCGCCCAAATCTAAGACCTGCAATCTTTAATCTGATTGGTTCGTCCATAAATTATAGTGTCGCCATTCCTAATATGAATATACTTATTCAATTGAATTTGAAGGTTAATTTCTGGCAGCAATTTTGAATGTATTGGCTACCTGTTCCTTCTAGATACTTCAACAAGTAATGTTTTTTGTTTGTTTTAACACATCATTATATCAATTAGCTGCATAAACTATTCAGAAACGTTTATGAAAAGTTTACTACCTTTCTCTGTACAAGTTACGATAAAGTCTAATCAGCGACATCGTGGTGGCTGGCAATATGCAACGAAAGGAATATACATTATTCAGATTTCAATTCCTGAACTGCTAGCATTTAACTAGCGATCACTAAATAATTATCATCATGATCTATCAAAAAATAAGAAAAGGAAACTCACTGAAGTGCTTTGTGCTGAGAATTCTATATTGTACCAAAAATATAATACTCAATAAAGCTATTAATAATAATATAATGATAATTATTGTTACCATATTTAAATGAATGGAATAGCAAAGATATTACTGTAGTATGACAATATAAATAACTTCTGTGGAATTATGAAAATTAATTACCGTTGAATAAACGTTTTGGATTTTCATGAGAAATGTATGTGTACGTAATCGTTTGTTAAATAAATGTGTAGTCTGTAGTATAGACCAGTGGAGTATTATACTTGAATTATGTGTAGGGTAAAGTAACCACAAATAGTAAGATTGTGTATTTAATTTGGAAGCTCAATAAACACATTATGTTTAATAATCCTATTTCAAATGGACGTTTCAAATAGATTCACATCTGTCAGTCAGTCATAAGCAACGTTGATTCTAGGACGTATGTCAACTAGTTACTATATCATCCTATCGAGATGAAATTATCAAGATAAATATCAGAGTGGTAAAATTTGCAACAATATTAGTGGTACATGAAAAAGATTAGATGTAGAAAATATGATTCAAGAAGAAAGAAGAAAGTTACGCATTAAAAGTATAAGTTTTTCAAAACAACCGATGTTTACGATAATCATGTCTATCTCGAGCTGAAAATCTACATTCACGCTTACATATACACGGAATTCAAGAATATGTAGTTAAATGGTTCATTTAATCTCATAACTTCGAAAGTGATTGTATCTAGATAATACGATGACAATTCTAGGAACCAATAAATAAATAGCAATTATTATTGATATATCAAGTAGTGTAAAACACGACGATGGACAAGAGAAGTACCAAAGTATGTACACGATACAAATATACAGCCTTCAATTGTCTATTTGTATCTTTCGGTATATTTTGCCACTTGAACTGCTTTCTTGGATGGTTTCCAAGTGTTTTGCCAATGCAGTGCTTTCAATGCACTGAAAGTCTTTAATCCGTCTGACAATTGTTGCAATTTCTATTCCATGTTCTGCTACACACTAAATTACAAACATCCTTGTGAGTAGTATCCACTACAATGGTACTATCACTTATACATGCGATATTATTTTATTCATTGAAAAATAGGCTTAATTTAACTCTTTTTGTTGGTAAAAATAAGTTTAAATAGATCAATGATAATGTTGTCTGGTCAATGATCAAAAGTTATTTCCGAACAAAAAAAATATATACTTTAGCAAAATTCAACTGAATATTTATTTATTTTATATACCTGTACTAATCAATTTAATTTTTTGTAACCAGATTAAGTTGATTGATTTAAGTTTGTTCGTTGTATGTATGTGTGGGTTCAAAATGACGTAATCAAATGAATTTAATTCAGTATAATGTAAATGAAACTAGTTGATAAAAGTTTAATCACATTCGTTAATATATTTTTCTTCTATTGTTTATGTGTATATAACTTAAACAAGAGTTGACTATGGATGGTAACTAGCACTGAGATCCAGGACGCACATTTCGTTATATATGGAACTTGTCAGCTGGATGTCAACCGGAGTGAACATCAACTCTGGGACCCAGGTATATCCAATTGACGAGTCCCAAATAAGACGAAATGCTATCCTGAATCCCACTACTAACTATACTTGTAATCAATTTCAATCCTAAACATTAATGAGTAAATGCAAACAAACAATACATAAATGAATTAAGAGTTGACTATGTATAGATTGTTTCCTTCATTTCTTGTTTATGTGTAACTAAATTAACAATTCACCTATATTAACATTGATGATACATTAATCACTGATTATTTATTATTTTTCAAATTTCAATAAGGTACTGATTTTCTTTTTTGTCTCTAATAGATTTTATTCTCTGTTTCTAAAATATAATTGTAAAATGGTATATAAATATATGTGTGTTTATCCGTTTTGCATTTCTGTTTTTTTTTTTAATTTTTTAAAAACCAATCAATCAACAAAGTTGTATTCAGTGATTTTGACAAGTGAAACACTTTTCGATACCTCAATAATATGTTATTGATTTAATTTTCAAGGTTGATAGATTACCAAAAGAGATTTGCAATTTATCATATGATTGTTTCTTTTTGTTTTGTTTTGGTGTTTTTATGTTCCCATTAAAGTAAATGATTTATTTGTAAAACCTTTCATAGACGTTTTGAGAAGTATCGTCTTTGCTTACTTCATATAGATTTTGAGTTATTCTATAAGCATTAAGTTGTTTCATTCTGAAGGGCTTATTTGTGATTGGTTGTTTTGACCGGTTTCATGGTTTTTAATTGTTGTTTATCAATCCATATTGAAAGAAGTCAGTCAATCTTACATGGTCAGAGCTCGAACAAACGAGATAGCCAGTAGAAATATATGAATACATGAGAACAGTGAAACTCCCGAAGACGACTAGTCACAAATAAAATCATCAGGACCAACTGATTTTACATCTGTGGAATTACTAAAACGCTAATTGATGCAGAAACTAATAATGTTGTCCAGAGTAACAATAAAAGTTTCTAAGTCAAACTGTCCAATTCAAATGGTATATTAACACAAAAAACATCCATCTGAGTTGGAAATCTTCGTCATAATATGACGAACTAATACAATAGTAAGGTCTTTTACTTTGAATAATTAATTTTTCATTACGACTTCATCTTCTGAAGGTATAAATCGCTTACTTATAAACAAATGTAACTGGTCATTTTCAATCATGTTACTTGTTTATTTATGAGTAGTGTGAATTGCTCCATCAAATTGAAATGAATCTGTAATTTGTATTGTTATGAAATTTTTATTTATTTAAATAGATGACCTGGTTGAATACCGAATCCCTGAAGGGAGTCTAGCACATCCTCCTTATCAAGCGGAAACTAGTTTCTATAAATCGCAAGGATCAGAAGTGTTCACAAATGAGAACTTAAATTCTAGTCAAGCCGGTGGTGGTCTTCCATTTTCAGATACTTGTTATGATGGTCATAGAATTGAACCAGGAAGTCTTTTAGATGGAGGACTTGGTTGTCTTATTGATTTAAATAGTGCTAATCGTGATACTATTCCATCTATACAACAAAATGTTGGTGTTAGTTCAAAAGCAGATAGTTCAATGAATAATCAATTTGTTGGTTGGCATCGTGATCGTTGGAAAAGTTCACAGGATAAAAATAATGATGTTGTTGATATGCTTTTTCGTTTTGCTTCTGTACGTAATTTTACACGACTTCGACTTTATATATCTAATAATTATTTAGAAAAGGTTAGTTTACATCCTTAATTATTGTTATGCCATAATATTTTTTTTCAGTAATATGTACATATTTTTGTTATAAATGTATTTATTTGAAGTAATTTGCTGAAATACATAAGCACTTTACTGAATTTTTTTTACCTAAAACAATGAAATGACAGTAATTAATTAATTAATTTTTTTCCCTTCTTCCATTAGATTCGTTTACCCAGGCGACTAGAAGTCAAATTTAGTGTAGGTGGTGTACATTTCTCTGGTCAATTGCCTATTTCACGTGAATTCAAATTAGAGAATCGAAGTCTAGGTGTTTTTAGTATTATTTTGGATTTATCTCATAGAATTGGTCAAGTTGTACAGTTGAAAGCATTTTTCGCTGACGATTGGTTGTTGTTTAGTGAAATACGCTTTGAAAGTGGTAAGTTTTATTTCAAACATTGACATTGGTACTTTTATGAAGGCTTTATCTTACTCTAACACTCTATTATATGAAACAGTAATAATAATAATAATAATAATAATAATAATAATAATGGTTTATGTTACAATTATATTATTTTCCTCCTTAAGGTTGAGACTGATATAATGCTTCAGGTAATCTATCCGGAAATCATTCAATCATGGTTTCAAACGAGATAAATCATATTTCAGGTCATAGAACTCAATATCTCATATACAAATTTGTATAAAGTTACTTAAACCTTTTATATTACTAAATTATAGTGTTACTTAGGTATATTAGTATCGCAAGTAACCCTTAGTGATAGAATCTAAATAAGGTCATTTAATTATAGGTTCTCAGTAAATTTTGATGCGTAACTATGATACTTTAGGCTTTGGTAGGGTAATACTCAGCGTGTTGACTGAATAGTAAATGGATCTCTTGATATAGTCAAATATAGCTGCTAAGAACTAATATTTGGCAAAGATAAGTCTTTTTATGTCTTTTTAAGTGACATAAAATTATCATGAAAATATGATTAAATGATTTGTACACCGATTGATCGAATAACAACAGAGAAATTGTCTCATAAAATTATCCCGGCTACATACAACAACACATATCATGAATATAATGTAGAGCAATCATTCTTGTCTCAAATCGATTTCTAATTCAATCATCTGCTATCCAGTGTTATTACGTCAAAACAACTAGGTAATAAGTGTATATTATCGAAGATTCACTTACAAATGATTGATACATTTCTTATTATAAGTTAATCTAACATTTTCACAGTTGAATTCACGAGTCGATCTAAGCTAGACCACCATTAAAAACCTGGAAGCACTGGATGGCCATTTCATCCTAGTATGGGATTCCTCAGTAGTGTTCATCCATGGTCCCACTTCTGAGAAGTCCCATACTAGGACGGAACGGCCGTCTAGTACTTCTAGGTTTTCAATGGTTTTCTGGCTTAGGTTGACTTGTGAATTCAACTGTGAAAATACAACAATCTCCACAAATCCTTATACTGATAATTTAAAATTTAGCCTAAATACATTTTTATACCTAATTACTTATCTATTTTCTCAATATAACTTTATTACATTTAAGTTATTATGCTTTTTGTGTCCAGGAGAAAGTAAAACTAATTTCTTATTTATCTATTTGTCTTACTAGGGCATAGAATAGTTTTATGTAAATTTTACAGTGTTAATTATTGTACAAATTAATAAGTACCATTTTAATTTGATCTTCATTTCGCTGGCAAAAAAAATCTATTTAATGTCCATTTTAGAAAAGGTTACAACACCGATAAAAATTGATGAGTTGGCTATATTATCTTCAAAATCCTTCAATCATCAACCTATTAATGAAGAAGAGGACTCGACGAATACAAGTGAGTAGTGAATTAACCAGTCACAAGTAATGTTTCACATAAAAGCAAATATTAACATTTTATTGATGGTAAATGATGGGAGGTGGTCGACAGGATACCTTGCTCGACCTAGGTTTCGTGCTAATTGGCTCGAGTCAGAAAGGAACACTTATAATATTGATGGAGCTGATGCTTTCTGTGGAATTTAATCTCGCATCACCCAGTTTCACAATTTCAGATGTTACCACTGATCTGTTCGGGCAGCTACTGACTTGTTCCTGCAAAACTGAGACGTTTAGATTTCATATGCTTCAGAAGAACAAGAGCAAAGATTTAAGCATAATATCACGAACTTATTTTACTCCGTTTAGTTCTCACTATTTACAACTGACTAATTACTGAGGAGTGACCAATATCATGTTTGTCTCGTCTTCTAGCACCGATAGAATAATGTTGATCAAGCATTTCATCCTTTGTCATGTTTATAACATTTGGATTTACGACATACTTTTGTTGAATTATTCCCATTCACTTGTTTTTTTTCTTTCTAGAACATGAATCTGATACAAGTAAAGTGCCATCCTCAAATGATACCTCTGTACTTGATGATTCGTCAACTCGTTTGTCAACTGTGGTTATATTAGTACTAGTTCTATTATGTTGTTTCCTTGGTTTATTAGCTGGTGTTGCTTGCTTCTCTGTGACATGGATGCACCGTAAAAGACATGATTTAGAAAGAGAAAAACATCAAGTTCATAAAACATTGTTAATTCGTGGTGAAGATGCTTTAAATGTATGTACAACAACTGGTTTACGTGGTAACGGTGATGTCAATCTTATCGGGGGTGGTGGTGATGGTGGTTATGCAACAGTTAGACCGAATTTGTATCCATTTCTATTATCTGCAGCTAAACCTGAGATAGGAGGTAGCAATGTTGATTTGGTTTTCTTCTAATTTAACACTATTTTACATTTTCATGAATTTATTGTGGCTTGAGATACTAATCGATATTATGTGCTATATTGCCTAATCGGGATTTTCTTATCGATTAGTTCAACTACATTGCCAGTAGAACCTGTGACTTGTTTCATGAGATTACACATCGACCAACGAACCACAATTAAGGCCTTAGTGCTTATTGTTAATCAGTTATTAATGTCTTAAGCTACCTGATGGCGTGACCACAGAGCTCAAGGGATCACTTCTTGAGGTCACTCATACACGGCTGTTCCGAGGCTTTGCTTCAGGCGACGAAAGTTTGTGGAGTAAGGTGAAGTGCTCTGTTTTTAGAGTCAACCTTTTCTAACCCTATTGTTCATGCTGTGGGAAGGCTGAATCTCTCCAAAGGCTAGTTGTCTGAGGGAAACAACTCACTGTCATTACAGTCCATTATAGCCAGCAGTACGACCTCACCCTCATAACTTAAGTTTGTGCTTTCAGCCTTACCATTCTACGAATGACTTCCAGGCATTGCAGGACCTAAGTGAATGATTACAAAAGCCAATTTAGTTTATTTTCTAACAAGATGACAAACTTATATTGATAACATTGAACACAGGAATAAACATGATTGTAAGTCGTTTAACAAATAAATAATTCAAGGAAATGAGACCTGGTCATTCACTCTCTGAATCGACACCCAAATATCAGGTTTAATTTTTGTCCATCGTATCAATCGTTATGTGTTATGAATGTAAAGGTTTGTGTTTTAGACTTGTTTATATAAGAAATATTGTGGAGTTAGAGATGGGTTAGCTTATTTTGAAATTAACGGTTTTTCTCCAGAATTTTTATATCACGCTCTTAAACCGTTAATATTATCAAGTTATTATACACCAGAAACTCTGTTCAGCAATTAGCATGAACATAATCATACAAACGATGCCAAAGTAGGGGAGTTTATGGGCTTTTGCGAAGTAAAATAAGTCATGTTTCAACAATGGGAATTCACTCAGTTTCAGCTTATGATTTTTACAAAGCCAGTAGTCAGTCTTTTTTTAAAAGTTCAAGTAATTTTATAATTAAAATCTAACCATTGTCTCTTATTCTTAACTGAATTGTGACCTCATAATTTACTAACTTGTTAGAATTTCCACAGAGAAAGATATTCATCATCAACATGTATGTCACTAATAACTACTAAATATCCGTTAGGTGGTTGGATGTCCGAATAGTTCAGAGGTAATGTTTCAGACTGTAAAGTTGTGTGGTGTGGGTTCTAACCCTAAAGAGACGGTTAACGTCCCCTAAAGATTGCAAATAAATCTTGCTGCTAACTACCTCCAACCACACGATGTTGAGTCACTCAAAGTAGTAATGAAATGGTAACTTGATTGATAAAATTTGACCAACATTAAGACATTGATTCATTGTAACTACTTATGCGTGATTGTTATATTTACTTTTTTTTAGTTTCAACTGTCCTACCAAATGGTGGATTACAATCTTATCATCAAATTGTCCTATCATCAAATACCAGTACAGAATCTCCCAATAGTGTTTCAAATGAAAAAAATTCGGGTCAACAACAATCACAGCTACGTCAGACGTCACAGTCAAATGTTGGTATGATTATTGGTCAACAGTCTAATACAATAGTTAATCGTTTATCTGGTGGCACAATTGGTCCAAGTGATGGTGTTACATCAGAAACTGAAGCATTCTGTGATAATAACAATAATAAACACAATGATGATATTGATGAAACTCATCCACATCATCGTTATAGTTTATCATTATTTAACAATCATCCATACCATCATCATTACCAGATCCGGAAGCAACATTCATCTGTTTTATCCTCGTTATTATGTATATCGAAAATGAAGAAACATCGTCGTAAACAATGTTCAGTAAAAATAAATCATAACAATAGGACTATTTCGCAGCTTGATCATACTAATAATATACATGGGAATATTAATTCTAAAGAAATCGACCATATTACTGCTACTACTACTACTAATAGTAATAATAATACAGAATTTTTAAATACTGTAAATAATTTCGCAAGAGTTAATCAATTAGTTAGCAGTCAATCTGGTCATAATTTAGGATTATGTTCAACTGATCTATTAAATGCTCATTTACGAGGACAGGTAAATTAATATTTCAAAGATATTCGTTATTGTTGGATTTCTTTATATTTTAACATAATGCGATATTTATCAGTAATAGGGTTTTGGAGATTGTTGAGTTTTTATTTATCCTAGTATGGGACTATTCAGCAGTACGCATCCACGGCTACGTATGCGAGAATCTGGGACCTTCGGTCTCGTGCGCGACCGTTTAGCCTCCAGACCGCTGAGCCAGCATCCAACGGTGTTAATATCTAAATCCAATGAATCCACGATATTGTGCGACCGTTTTCCATTGTCTTTAGTGGGTAAATGTCTCACATCTGACATGGTTGAACTCCACTGGTCACAGCTTCTCACTGAAACTTCGAGAATTACTTCTAAAAGCTAGTCACGAGAGAGCACATAGCCACAGTGGTCTAGAGGTCAAGCTTTCACGCGCGAGACTGGAGGTGCTGGGTTTAAGTCTCGTGGGAGGAGTTGTGGATGCGCACTGTCAAAGGGTTCCATACTAGGACGACACGGCCGTACAGTGCTTCTTGGTTTCCAATGATAGTCTAACCTTGATCGGTTCATGATCTCAATAAAAAAATACTAATATATTTTCCTAGAAGTCATGAGGTTTCTGATACTCTACATCTTTCGTTTTTCATTGATAGTATACTTCACTAATGATCTCAGGGACCCGTGACCGACCTTGAGAAAGTAAAACCAACTTTTAACCAAAGGGAATGTAAATAAGTTAACCCGATAAAGGTTAGGTTTAAGACTTACCGTTGGGAGTTAGGTACTGGGTTTAGAGCGGTAGATTGATTTACAGTCACGTTAATGAATAGCTCTGCAGGTTTTTCTTTGATTTCAAATCTTAAGATTACATAAGTTACCTTGGAAACATCATACATCATATTAAAATGTTACATTTTAATTTCAGCTGTTTTTTTCTATTAATTTATCACAACAAAACCAACCATTTCCCCATAGTTAACTTTAGTGTTGTTCAACTTCGTTTTTAATCTATAGTCCTTCTATGTTTATCAATTTTAAGCATCTTGATAATTAAATATTGTTAGGTTTTATTTATTTCTAACTTGGCCTTTAAAAAAGATACATGATATCCGTCATTGTGTTTTGAATTTCACGCAAAACTCTTAACAGCCACTATCATAAATCTGATTGGTTTATCATTAAAGCATACTTTTACCCGTTTTACTTCTAAACAAACTAATAACATTCAACTTTTTATACAATTTTGAATAGGTAGCATAAAAACTACAATTATTCAATTATATTGAAGTAACTTTCAACAAAATCCTTGTAGTTGAATATTTCCTTTAACAGTTATCAGAAATCCAAATATTCTGTATTCACAAATACATATGCTCATGTCTCTCAACACCATCTGAAGCTCATCAATATGGGAAAAATCATAATAATTAAATTTCCCCTTTAGATTTGTTTAAAATCAATGTTTTAAGGATAGTTTGTTTCTTAGAAATGTGTAAATTTAGAGTAGGGATTTCAGAATGAAGAACTAACAACAAGTCACATTAATATCATAGAATAATCTGCTATTGAATAACAACTTGTTTTGATGCACCTTCTATTTACATTTCTTTCATCAAATATATTATTATGAAGTTGATACTTAATTCAAATGCAACGAAACATGTTCTCAAAACTGTTCAGAAACAACGTTGACACTTTTTTTCAGTGTAGATAGCACTGAATTTTGAGGGTTAAAGAAAGTCTTTGAGGTTGACGTGCCTCTTCAGCGTTCCCAAGTATTTTAAAGTAAAATCACCCACAGCTTTTGATATTTAGATATAGTATCTGGGTTTATATTTTACGTTAGTTTAAGCATCAATTATCAATATATCTTGGTCTATTTCGGTGTTTCTAAGTCTATTTATTTAGCTCCAGCGTTAACAATCTGATTTGATTTTATATAACAAATAACAATTCTTGATTTACGTATTACAATTTCCAAATGATGTACTCTGCCTTAAATCTAGCCAATTCTATGGATTATTAATTTGGATTTATAATTGTAGAACCTGATGAGAAATTATTGAAAAGAATATTCTTCGTTCATACAATTGTGTTCTAATTTATTTGAGGAAATTATACTACTTTATTGTTGTTAGTAACATATTTACGAAACACCAATAAAGAAATTTACCATGATACTTTTATCTGATTGGTCTATAAGGGTTAATAATTTCACTTATCTATTTTGTATATCGTATGCTTGAAACACCAGACTTCTGTACAAGCGGCAAATGGATTACTTCAAATTGATTTGTCTCGAGGTCATCCATCAATGCTAATCAATGGTCGACCATTAATGCGGATTTCAGCTTCATCTAATCCATCCGATGTAACTGATAATTCTTGGCTTTTGCAAACCGGTTATCACAATAATAATGCAGTTTGTTGTACTTCTTCAATGGGTATGAATCTATTAAACTCAGAACCTGGTGTTTATACAACAGTTGGCGGAGCTGAATCAGATGTAGATAGTAATGGAGCAAGTAAGTAATAATTGGTGAATATAAATAGGTGGAATATTAATTTAATTAATTAATTTATATTTTGATTTTTATACTGATTATATGAATAAGTAAATCCTAATAAATATCCTATTGTATCACTACCATTAATATTAGTAAAAATCCTTAGTAACAATTATTACTTGTTTTTAAAGCACTGGTTATCATAAATAGAAGTGGTTTAAGGAATAAACATCTGGTTTATTGATATAATAACACCTCAATTAGACATTTTAAATGTTTGTAATATTTTGTCAGTTTGTTAGTAGACCCTTAGAATTATCGATGGATCTATACTACAATGATGAATTTGAGAAGCTTTAGATTTGACCTGCGGAAATTTTATTCAGTTATTAGCAGGTAATATAAATGAATAATTTACTACAGAAAACCTAAAAAGTCAAAAGATCGTAGCTTTATAGCTTATATAAGGGCGAAAATGGTTCTTCAACCTTGACCACATTAGTTCAACATTATTAATGTGGACATTTTTCATATGGTTGGTGAATCGATACGTAACATTGGACAACCTACTGGTTATAGTTCCATAATTGAACACTCATGTACTTTTTCTAATTATTTTTATAAACTGGTAGTCCCCTACTGCATATATCATACATGAATGAATAATTTTTCCATATCGAGTAGGTTATAAGGTACGGAGAATCTTGAGAAACCCTACTAATAGCTTTGACTGTGTCCCGAATCACATCAAGTACACTTAACGGGTAACTGCTATTTTATATACCATCTACATCATGAGCAGGTATTTCTTGTAATTTATCTTTCACGCTATACCTCATTCACTGTGGAGTTGGACAACAGATGATTTTTAAGATCAATCTATCCATCATCACATTTTAAATTTTGATAAAAAATCTCATAGGCACTTTTGTAAGTCCAGTTGATTTGTCAGTATAGTATAGTTTTACCGAACTGTTTTTAAAAGTAAAAGTAAAGTTGAAGGTTTTCCTTGAAGATTTTCCAAAAGAACTTCTCAGCGATCAAACAATGAATGGTTAATTTTAAAAACTTCTCATATATAACTTATATATTCTTTTTAATTCATCCTTTTTCATTTTAAAAGGTACAATGAGTCCAGAGTATGCATCTACAAGTATGTTACACGATTATCCCATGTTAGCTGCTACATTGGCTCAATTAAATCAACAACGGTTGGCTGCTACTCTAACACCATCTATGAATGTTCAACCTAATTTATATCCTTGTGCTAATCCACTTAACACTGGCTTATCATCAAATTGTTCTGTTAATTTCAATATTTTATCAAATCCTCCATTGAATTCCCCATTTAGCAATAATAATAACATCATTAATAATCCCAGTACCTACGGTAATATTAATTTTCATAAGAATAACTTTCTCACATCAATAAATGCAATTCAACAACCATTATTATTCACGAATCCCCATTCAATACATGATATGATGATGATGATGACGACAAAGACAACAACAACAGCAACAGCGGCGATAACAACATCATCAGTTACAAAACTATTAAGTGGTATACAAAGTTCACAGATTGGTAATGATGGTAGTAACAATCATCATTACGGTGTTGAAAGTGACATTGTTCAAAATGTATTTCAACAGAATAATTATCAGTCACAAAATCAACAGATATATGATGCTTATAATTTACCGACTCCTTCAGCACCAATTTATTATCCTACCGCACCTCAGATTATCTCATCCACTATAGGACAATATTTCCCGTGTATTATTACTACTACTACTACTACAGGATTATCATCTATATCAGCATCATCATCGGGGATAGCACCTCACACAGTGTTATCGCCATCATCGTCTGCAAAGAGTAATAACGCTATAAGTAATACTGCTACTACTACCACTTATAATAATAATAATCCCACATTACTTGGAAGAGGTGGTCGTATCAGCAATGAATACAAATCTCCGAAAAGGAATGACGTTGTAAACATTGAACAATCACATAAACGATCAGGTAAGTGTATATTTTATATAGTAGCTGTTCAGTTTCATTAGTAATTGACGATCAACAATGAAGTTCTGTTTAACTTGGGTCTTGTACTGGTAGATACTGTTGTTTTCAGAAAATTATTGTTTACTCAATAGTTTGAAACTACACTACGCTATACTACGGTAAGATATCTACTATAATACTACGAATAATCTCATAGTCTTCTCTTGATATGATTAGTAGTAATTCCTTCTTTGTATGACTATTCGTCTAAAAAAAACAAAGTGTTTCTGTCTCTACTCTACTCTTGTTCAATACTAATTTGGAATTTTTATTGACCATGCAATAAAGAATTCACATTTTATGTATTATTGAGTATCATTTGAAATCCATCACTGTATATCATCGTAGTTGTCAAACTAATGTCATGCTAATTTCTTATTGTTTGTAAACTCTGGTAAATATAAGTTTTGTATGGATGATGATAGATAGGATTAAGAAGAATCTCTTAGCTAGAAATTACTCACAATTATACTCCTGTCTATAATTAACGACAATGATCTCTAATGTATCATTGAGCTGTCTATTTCAAATGGAATATCCATTCTTTTTAAATGTTTCTTTGTTATTTTTACAATGGTACCTAGACTTATGAGCTTGGCCTCTATTACAAGATTATTATTTATGAAGAAATCAGTTATAAGATTATGAATTGACAAGTTTGGATCTAGATTTCTGTTTTTCACTTGAATGTGAAAATATATGTATTAGTGAATGTGTGAAACATGACAATAGGCAGGAGGAATGTATGTTTTCTGCGAGTTACAAAGAATTTACATTATAGATATGTAATGAACGAGAACAAAAGTGGGGACAACCAGTTGTAGTGGAATATGGCATTACAGAATCTCTTGGTAAAATATGAGAACCATACACTGAATACTTCATTTGCAAATTTCCACCATCTGTATGATTCTTAGTCCACAATTTCTTTCTAATCCCGTTTTTGTCCTCCTCAACTCGATCTTCTTAGCCTTCTGCTGCCAGGTTTTCCACTTCTGATCGGTGTTACATACTACTTATGTCGACAGACATAAGTAGCATACACAATACATATACGTAGCCTTCAATCATCCGTTTGCACCTTTTGGTGTGTTCTGCCAACATTCCGCTATACACTACTTACAAACATCCTTGTGAGTAGCGTCCATCACAAATGTAATTGGAATATAAGGGAAATGTATATGATTTTCCGAAATTTTCTCATTTTGTATTACGAATGAATTGATGATTATGTTAGTAAACATTTCAATATTATTAAGAGTTGGTTTACAATCAGCAAAGTTACGATTGAGTTGTATTGATACTATAGATTTGTCAACTAATTAAGAAAGGAAAATCAATTTGTAGCACAAATCACACTTTTTATACTACTGTTTAGTATACATACTACTACTAAGATATTATCCAGAATATATTCTTATTATTTTAAATGTTTAATATATATGTTGACCATTTACATTTCAGATGGGAATAAATTAGATTTCAATGTTAAATCTGCGTTGACAACAAACACTTGTTTATCAAAATCTAATTATCGAGTTTCTAATCATAATCCATGGATTAAAGCATCAAATTCAAATCGTTATGGTGAATTGGAACAAGTACAAAGAAGACAACATGATGAAAATTTACTACCACCAACACCTTCTAGCCCTCCTCCACCTTTGCCACATTCAATGACAACACCTAAACATCATTAACTAAAATATTTGTTCATAATTTTATAGTTGAAAGGGGCAGAATTTAATATAGTCCTCAGTAATCAAGGCGACTGTTTCGATACATGCATATATAAATATATAGAGTACAAATGTAACTATTCATTCATGCATATATGCGCTTGTAAATAGAAAAAAAACCCTAGAATTTCTTCTTGGTTTTTTATGCATAATAAGTATACATTCAAATATATGATATTCTATATAATTTAACGAGAAATCTTTTACCTATGTATGTACCCTTACCGGTGGCGTGTACAATATTCAGTCATCATCATCATCATTATGTTTTTCTACGTTTCAAGAGTTAAATCTGTCTTTCCACTAGCTCTGTCTATATGTTCCTATTCGTGTTAAATGGATGCCGTAACCTTCGTTTTCATTTATCCAAATACTTTTTTTTAAAAAATATTTCGATATGGAATAAAACATTGAATCGAAATAATTTCTAGTTGATTTGTAATTCTCTTCTCATATTTCTTATTTTCTGTACATTGAACTTATAAAAAAAAACAGAACAAACCACTGAATCATTATCGTTTATTGTTATAAACTTTCAAAGTGTTTGCTTTCATTCAGTTAATTTCTGGTTTATTTAGTTCTATCCTATTCTATTATATCTAAAATTAAGGTGAGTTAAAATTATTTAGGATTTGTCAGTAGTATTTTTATCCTGTAAGATAATACATAAAGTTTTTAACAAGTACCATAAAGACACAAACATAGTGGTAATCTTTGGCCTAAATCATCAGCGGATTAACCAAACGATTACTGGGTAAGATGTTCCATTGAGTCTGGTTACGAATTTAAAAGATAGCAAATATGTATATTGTTGACCAACATTGACATCCAAATTAGTTAGATCAAATCAACAGTGTTTTCTATTTTAAAGGAATGTATCTTACTAACTTTTCGTTACAATTCTTCGAGATTAAACTGACTATAATGGTTTTTCGTTGATGTTTACACTCTAAGTAAAGTTTACTACTTAAAACTAAGTCTAAAAGCACTGAATATTCAATTGTTAGAAGTAACTGTGTAGTAGAACTATTTCTAAGACAAGTAAAAGCTTCTTCGTTTACAACTTCACTAATGAAACAGAAGTTTTGTCTTATTTGGAAGATTATGTTTGAGAAAATATGTACACCCTTCTTTTGTCATTCTAATGTTCAAGATGATATTCTAAGATTTCGTGGTCAGTTAACCAAGTTAGTTTCGCTGTAATCTACGCATTGTATTATTTTGTGCTTTTTATTGTGTGATTCTAGAGTGTAGGAAAGGTAACTATTATCCCGTTGGCTAGTATTATTGCACCCATTTATCTATGTGAAGTTAGCTTTTGATGTTTTAGAACAATTAAGTACATCTGTAAGAGAATATATTTTCTTGGTGTTTTGTAGCTTCTCATATTGTTTACGGTAGGATGGGAGTACATGCGAATATTTCACAGTTTTCCTCCGTTAAGTAAAATCATTTCTAGTGAAAGAGATTTGTGAACAATGTTGAACTTCATAATTTACATTACGGACCATAATTAGTCAGATAACCATTGGAAACCAGGATGTCTCATACACCTGTTTCATAATAGTAGAAGTTTCAGTGATATACACCCACAACTTCACTGGGGATCGGTCTTGCGGCAAACATCTAACCATTATAACCACTTGTTGGGGACGATAGGTCCCCCAAAACTCACATTTTGTAATTTTATCTTATCGATTAAATATTTAATTATTTGAATGGTAGTCAATTGACGAACTTATTGATGAATGTTTAAAAATTTATATGACAATATAGATTTTATATATTTGTATAAATACGCTTGATTTGTGTGCGTGATTGACCTGGTATCTGCTGGTTGCCTGTAGAATACACTTCCTACGTCTTACCGAGACTTCTTGATCGAGTTAGCTGAGTCAAGGACAACGGACAGAATAGCCTGTCGAGATTCTGAATCCCTTGATCCGATCAATAAGTCACTGCCCTCTAATCGGTGGCCTTTGAGATATAACACCACTAAATCGAGGTCCAATGGTACAACTCCAATTTTCGTCAATTTATACTGCAGCATGATGACTGTACAGTAACATCGGTGACAGCTGTTTCATTCCTGACATGACCAATGTTCCCTTCCAAATCTCACAACAGGACGAAAGAGCTATTCAGTACCTTCCAAGTTCTTAATGTTTGTCTAACTAGGGTCAGTTCACAATTTAAAACTGTTCTCAATTATTGCTTAGATCCTTGAATATATATTTAACTTTCATAACATAAACATACTTTACTTAAACAATCTATTCACTGAAAATAGTTTCATCATTTGTCATTTTCAATCTTTGTATATTGAAATATTTGGATTCTATTTGATAACATTTCACTGTTTATATTATCTTTGTCAACTCCTTCCATTTTGATGTCAAGTGAAGCTTTTACAATACTACCGTATTCAAACTACATCCCACGCAAAGAAACTTCACCGAGTTTTCCCTTTTTTATATCGATAGTTCTGTTATATTAATAATTAATTTTAAATAAGATTAGATTGAATAAAAATTCACTTCATTTATTAGTTAAAAATGTACAACTTGTTATCTTTCACGAACATTATAATGTTCCCATAATTTTATGAGGTTACTTGATAAAGTTCAGTATGAATTTGATTTGTTCAGAGATGCTATATGAGGTAATATTAATTTTATTAGGTATTTAAATGTGTTTGTTTGTGTGTGTGTGTGTGTATACATGGTCTCTTCTTAGATATGTGAAGAATAATTTTCAGAATAAGAACTATTTCAATGAATTACATTACTTTGATATAATTTTAGTGTAATAAATTAATGTGAATGCACATTTTAATGGTATTTATGATTATGTGCAACTAGTGTGATCCTATCGTTAGGACAAAATTTAACTGTTATTTCTGTGGAAGACATGTTTTTCAGGTCAGTGTGTAGTCTACTGTTTACTGTAAAATGTACATTCTTATAAAAGATTACATGTATTGTAACTTGTTTAATAGAGTTAGTCTACAGAGTTTATTCAATGGTTTAATCATATATACTGGGAACATTTGTATCATCTTAGCTTATTAAATGTATAATTACTCCCATACGTTTTCTTTTCATTTTAGAATATTCACCGAATCATACTTCAATTTTCATCGTTTCATGGTAACATACATGTTGTGGATGATATTCTCATTATGAATTTGAATTCCACTCAGTTGAATATATGCTTATCTTATTTTACCTCTATTTTTTTCCCAGATGGATTAACCCAGGTTAGCATTTCTGATGAAGTATGAAGTCTTCCATATTATTTCTTCTACCTCTCATCCATTTATTCTTTTACATACATATTTTCTTTTTTGTATTTGTTGTTTGTTTCAATGAGTGATTGTGTATAGAATCATTGAAATGTGTTGTGAATTTTAAATGGGAATGGAATTACAATTTAATTGGTCGGATTTATTCACTGATTATTCAGTTCTTCATGTATATCATTTGGCTAACTTTCAATTAATCTGTTATATAAACTAAAGATATTTATGCTAAATCTTCAGATACATATCCCTATATATATATATATATATATATATATATATATATATATATATATATATATATATATATATATATATATATAATTCTCTGTAAACATTCATATATAAAAGTCACGAGCCAGTCTCTATTTGTGTTTATGAGTATGCAATAAAGCCAATCATACAAAAAGGACAAACTCTCTTTATTCTTCTTAATATATATATAATTGTTATGTTGCATACATTTGATTATATTCCATTATTATATAGATGGAAGAAGTAAATAAAATTAACTTTTCATTCGAACATGGCTGTTTTTTTGCATGTTTATTTTTTTTTAAAAAATATAAAATTTTAAAAGTTTCTACGTACTACTGAAATGTTTATTAATTGATATACATATATATATATATATATATATATATATATATATATATATACATATATTAATGAAATTGGTTTATTTGTTAGAAATGGATAGGGAGTTTTATATGTAAATATTTCAATATTAGGCTGTTGGGGGCATTTTGCAGCAAGTTTTATGTCAGTGTTGAAACTAATAAGTAAGGCGTTTATATAATCTTGATGGAAATGGTACTGTCTAATGGATTTGGAACTGTGCTTCACAGTTGTGAGATGTTAGAACTGAGCTACTTAGACTATCAATAAACCTCCTGACGATTGATTGATTAATATTGTTTGTATATGAGTTTTTTTTAACAATTTTAAATGGCATTAGTGAATGGTCTGTATACACAATGTGAAATTGACTCAGAATATCACATCTAAACATATTTCAATTTTGCGTATTAAGATTTTTGAGATATTTGCTATCCAAGTTTTACTGATTAATCTAACCCTATTGGTTAGTGATAGACTTTTCCAGGGAATATGTTAACGTGATGTATGGTAAAGTATCACATGTAAGACACTCGTTTACAATACAAAAAACGCATGAACTGTTATTACTTTCAGCTTTATCTTGAATTAAACGGATTGTACTGAAGGGTAATAAAACAATGCGGAAACATTTTAAAAACTGACGATAGTACAGCTGGGACTAGGAAGAAACTAGTGGTCAGACATTTTGTCTGATGAAATCTTGGCACGGTTTCAGAAACTTCATCTGGCTTTTGCTAACTTGCGTTGCCTGTAGCGTAGGAGAGATGTCTGCCCATCAAACCAAAGAACGAATATTCTGTAACTGTTAAATATAGATTTTAAAAATAAAGGATGTCTATAGGTTACTAGCATTTGATGATAGGTGCTTCCAAAACATTGTTCGCGTATGCTGGGATCATTGGGTTAGAAACGCTGAGGTTAGACACAAGTTGCTAGGTAAAAATGGCAATTTGATTCATGAGGTAGCGAATCTTCAACTAAGATAGAACATGTATTGAGTATGCTAAGCCATCGCCTACTTTGATAAGCTGTGTATACTGGTGTAGCTATAAGTTGGAAGAAAGCTAGGGGTGGTCAGTCCAAGTAGTCCCATCTGTTCATAAAGTCATAAATTGTTCAATTGATCCTTGTTGGTAAGTGAAAACTACTAGGTTGGATCAGTGCGATTATCTTAATCAGTGCATGGAGACGTATGGTTATGTTACTCGGAATCAATCTCAATGATACAAAAACATTCACTCGTTGTTACTTTATTCTGGGGATTCGTTTTTTTCTTGAATTACATTTTATGTGTTTAATCTCTTCCATCACTGATACTAATACTACTGTGAAATTGCTCCTGATAATTTCATCTCTGTGCGTTGATATGATGTGGCATCTTATTTATTTACCAGGTTCTACTTTACTGACGACTGACTGGTCGATCGTTTATACTAATTTTATTTCCACTCAATTATGATACCATCATTTGAGTATTCCCTGAACAGGATCAAAACATTTTGGCGGAAGTTTAAGCCAGTTTATTTAAATCAATCTGATAAATATGTCTAATAGTCTTTCTTATTTTTAGTCTATATTTGTGATGAATTCCCGGACACTCCCTTTTGTATCACTTTAGTTATTATTTTATAGAAATGTTTCAAAAAAACTTTACATATTTAGTGATATAACGTTGAAGACTTCAATAATAAACAAACCAGGAGCTAAATTTTACTGAGAGTTGGTCAATTGGAGTGGGTGCCATTTTAATAATTGTCTTTTATTAAGATTTCATTACATTTCAATTTGTACCGTTAACTAGTTCCGAAATGATGAAGTTTACTTTCGTAATTTACAGCTTGAATAATTTCTGTTAAATTTATTTCCCATATTGAACAGTTGAATTTTAGGTTCATAATAAAGACATAAAAGTCACATGATGCTTATATGAAATTTTGTATGAAAAAAAGCTTCCTTATTTTTGATAATTTCATGAATGAAGGGAATTCTCCATAAAAGTGGTAGATTCCTAGTTAAAGTTTATAATTTCATTTTGTTGATGTTCAGGAGTGAAATTGACTAGTCTCTGTTGTCATGTGTGAATTTCGAACGGATCACCTCAATGTAGCTTATCAGAAGTATTGGTTTATTTGATACGTGGCTAACAGGGTCTTAAATCTCAACTGAACACCAATACTAACATGCAGTTGACCAATCCGACTTAAAACAAAACGCTTATCCTGTATTCGACTGCTATCCATGCATAAGGTATACTAAAATTCATAAACTTTGTTGATAAATAACAACACTTTAAACCTTACTTATTCTAATGAAACAAACAACTTTTGTAAAACATTCATTGTCGCTGCAAACAACAAAACTGTCTCAAAGCATAAAAGTAATATCATAAGATTTATGTAATAATAATAATAATAACAATCCTCGTCACTATTAATTCAGCGTAATAACTGATGTTTCTGTTTCGCTGTAATATAAAAGGGAATCTAACTCATTTCACAAGTATTTTACAATCTGGAGAATGAACCTCGTGGTCAGAATCGATTGTAATATCATTATTTATAGGAAACAAAATACGAAATATTTATGAAAATATCTGGTTTACAGCCCTTTTCGGTGGCATTTTGTAACATACAACGGACAGACATCAACATAAAATTCTACACATAATGGATGGATTGATTTTGTTGTATTTTGTCATTGGATAAACAACGGAAATTTAATAAGATGTAAATGTGGGGAAAGTAAAAAAAACGAAATGAAGTGACAAAAAGAAATTAAAAATATAAGAGGGTGTTCAGATATGAAATCATTTGGGTATCTTCCAATTTGAACTCACTCCATAAATAAATTGTTCCGAGTTAATTCGTTTGGCTTACTAACCTAGACAGTGTTGATCCATATTCACCTAGTGTCAACACTGTAGAAATCGGGGTCGAAATACGAATATTTGTAAAAAATTTCGTTTTAAACTGACAAGGAAAGGGAACTAAACAGGAGCAACAACTCAGTATTCGAATAAGTTAGAAAGTTTACATTTTTCAAGAGTTTACATCAATGTCTAAGTAAATAAAAAAATAAGGCTACTATAAATCCCCCAAAAGCCCTGTTACGGCCGAGAGTGGGGAGAGTCAACTCTCCCTCTCGAAATGCTCTCAAGTGGCTACGTGCATGCAACCACTGCCAGTGAAGTTCTACTCACTGGCAGGGGTGTTGTTCATGAAATTGAGAGGACGAAAAGCGAATGTCCGGCGCTCTAAACGGGTTGGTGGATACGTGGGATCCACCTAGTGGGGTTGAAAAACCCTGATTCCAAACCAATGGTGTACATGGGCTCTAAGATCCTAGGAAACAAATGGTGTGTGAACCAATAATTGGTCACCAGTTACTATTGGACTGCATTTCCTTACGTTGCTCCACCGCCTTGTGGATCAAATCTTTAGGTCAACGACTCGGAGTGTGGCTCCTACGAAAACCACCTGCTTCGGTCTGGGTACCAGGTCTGTATCCCAGCCCCTACAAAAATCGAATGATTTGTGTGGCGCATATCTGTTTGGTGCTTCCTCGTACCAATGTTTGTGTGTTTAAATAAATAAATAATCATATGTAAAAGTGTCCACTTTTAGTATATGTTCGATACATATCTTGTATGAACTATTAGCTGCACTCATACATCATTAATATGAACTCGGAAAAAAGAACTTCACTAAATGAATATTCGTATAAAACGAACACACCTAAAAATCCTATAATCTGATTATTACATTTATAAATTACAATTAAAAGTTATCTGAATATAGTTTATTGTTTGTTTACTTTTCTTTATGGTTTATTATTCAATTAACCTTAAATGATCAAATCAAATTTTTTAACCAGAATAGTTCATTGAAAAACTCACTCAATCGCCTCAGACTTCATTGTACTCTTGATCCCAGACCATTCGTTCTTTGTTCTTGTTCTCTTTTCTTTGATCTTGTTAACATTTTGCCTTCAGGCATTTCACTTTCGATTGATGATACGTACTACTTATTATCTGTCGAGATCAGTAGCACACATAATATGTTCATTAATAATTTGGCTAATGGTTATTATTCCATTTTCAAATTAATAACATCTTCGGCCCAAATTATATGAGAAAGAGAATTATAATATCATTATTAGAATAAGGATCCATAAAAGAATGATGATGTAAAAGGATTAAAATTTGCTGAATAGTAAAGTTGATTACTCATTCATTAGGTCCAGATTCACGCCTCTATTTGAACTGTTAGATCAACAAAGTATCAACACAAAGTGATAAAATGATAAGTCACGAGCAACCTTAGTGATATTTATTTCTTGAAAATCCAGTTCGTAATTTGTCTAAGCGTATATTCAATATCTTTACGGATTCTAAGTTCATTTCACCAAGTCAACTATTTGGTAGAAAGTCTTCAAATTAATAGGAAGTGAATCTAACGATTTGATCTCTAGTTCTGTACATAAACTTCAAATATCAGAAAACATTTCTGGCGTGTGAGTGAGCATGTACCCAAATGGCTGCAGAAACAAGTACAATCAAGTGACCCAATAATAGCAGAGGATAAACATCCATCATCCTCTATTGCTAAACATTTAATTGAAACAGGGCACAATATTGATCTAAACTCAGCTTTTG